CGGGGCGGGCGCTGACGGGCGCTCTCTGCCGCAGCTGCTGGAGGAGAACGACCAGCTCATCCGGTGCATCGTGGAGTACCAGAGCAAGGGCCGCGCCACCGACTGCGTGCAGTGAGTAGCGAGCGGCGGGGCCCGCGCGCACCCCCGGCTCCTCGGGGCGCCTTCCCAATGTTCTCCTTGAGGTTTCCCCCAAACGCTGCTTGTTCTAACGCGCTCTGCGGTGCGATGGCCCCTGCCCGCCGAGCTCGGGTGTCTTCCTTTCTCTCAAGGCTTTTGTTCTGCATTGACGTGAAGGGCGGCTCTGCTGGGCAGGCTTCTCTGGACCCCAGCTGATGTCTGGGGAAGAGGGAGCCGGTGTCTGTAGCGCTTATCCGAGGAAATGTGAGTGAAGAGCAGGTTCAGAGGCTGCAGAGCCCGAGCTGTTCAGTCTGGTCTCTACTGCAGCTCTGTCTGCTGAGCTGCTTCCCCTGTGTTCTGCAGCTTTTCAGCTGTGGGCATATACAGAATTTTAATTTTTACTAGCACGTGGCTAGTGTTACTCTAGAAGGTTACAGTATGCAGTGAGCTATAGTGACAGTAGCATAAGGAGGAGTTTGTCTCATTAATGGTGTTTATTCCCTTGATGTCATGCCATAAAAGTGATTATTAAAGTGCAGGCAATTTGCTGTCAAGGACAGGCAACCAGGTACTTTCCAGGTAATGCATTTCTTCTTCTCCTAGGTACCAGCACATCTTGCACAGAAACCTTATCTATTTAGCTACAATTGCTGATGCAGCTCCACCCAGCAGCCAGAAGACTGTAGACTGACTGCACCTGCGTGAACAGTGACGCTCTGAGACGCAGTAGCACTTAGAGTAGAAGTCTAAACTAAGAGATGAGAAGGTGGCATCTTGAAAGACAGGTACTGTCATCCCTGCTTTTGCATTCAAATAGCTGAGCGTAGTTTCAGTAATACTATATTAGTAGTACTTTTTTTTTTCCCTCCCACCCTCCTAAAGATGCTCATGATCATACTGTAATTACCTCTTCCTTCATCCCCACACCTTCTCCATAGCCTTCTTCTGAAAGCGGCGTCGGTGTCAGGACTTGCCCCCTCCATGAGGCAGAGGCAGTTGTTGGTGAGCGGTCAGCAGCCCTGCAACCTCCCTCTGCCTCCAGGAGCACAAAGTCTGGGTGAGACTGGGGAGTTATGGCTGCAGTACCCGTTTACAAATCACTTTGTATCTTGTATCACAGAAATTGCTTAATAAATTAAAGATGTTCTCTGGCCATGCTGTTATACTTTGGTTTAAACGCATCTTAACAAAGAGGCAACTCGGGTGTGGAGAAAGAGGAAGTTTTGCTCTTCTAGGAAAAATGAACAGCTGTTACCTAATTTACTGCTATAAAAGTAAGGGGAAATTCCAGCCTTTATTTCAATGAGAGAAGGCTCTGTGTTTGTCCCACTTGTGTCAAGACTTGACCTTTTTGCTGGAAACACTCTGTACTGTGTATCTTGTTAACGAGTAAATTCTCACACAACCCAAATGGATGCATATGCTTTGTGGTTAGCAGTTGTATCATTCTTAGGCTGCAAGCCCCCAGCTTAGGTGGCACCTCAGTTTGTTTCACTGACATGATAAGCACAGCCCTCAGATTAGTTTTGTTCAAAAAAAAAAAAATCACAGGTATCTTTTCACCCTCTTCCTATGAAAATTATTTCCTCTGTGGTTGCTAATACTCAAATTACCACTTGCAGTTACCATCTGCACTTCTAGTTTAAAGACACTTGCTAAGGCCTGTTCTGCACAGTGCTCTTCCTCACAATCTATGTGCAAGAGGAGTCTGAAAGAGGCTACAAGGAGATGCTGCACATCCCGCAATGCAGAAGGTCAGATTTAGAGGATGAGTCAGTAAGTAGGCAGTTGACAATTTTCAAACTGATAAATAATCCCATGTTAATGAAATAAGATCTCTGTTTACAAATCAAAGTTACAGTTTAAGGTGCTGCTCACTTTCAGCAAGGTGCATATTTTAAACAGGTATGACCTATTAAATGTATATCTTTAATAAAGCAAATAGTTTACTTTTACAGAAGCTTTAAAATACAAAAATGTACAGTTCCAGTTTAGAAGCATTAGCTATTCACAAGAAGGACTGCAATAAGGGTAAGTTAACTAAGCACCAAACCCTTGCACTTGGCAGTGTAAGTGAAATTTAATGGCAAGACTCATTTGCCAAGTGCAACAATTCTTAAAATTACCAGTGTTCAGAACAATCGGAAGCAAAGGACAGAGTAGCACCTACGTGGTCAAAACGCAGACAAACTTTCTTTGTTTCCGCAATTCGCTGCTGTAGGTCCAGAAACTTGCCAGCATTTGTAATTGTGAATGAACTGCAAAAACTATAGCAATAATTTTGGCACTTGTTAGAAAAGTTCAAAAGTAAGTGTTTCATTAACTTTCATTTTGGTCTTAGTAGGGATAACCAGTAAGTACAACCAAATTTAGGGTTTAATATTAGATCTAAATGACAAGATTTAGGAAACTCAAAACCATTCATCAAGTTAAATAACCACTAACATTTTCAGCAGAGGGTTTCCAAAATTATAGTAGTACAGACCATTAACAACTTACAGACAGAAGCCACACTGATTGTGCAAAGCACATTACTGTAAAAAGTCTATGTACAGCAAACAAATCTTTGTAAACATGGTAAGTATGAAGTTTCAGAAAACATGGTGACAATATCATAAATACAGGCAACATTGGCATCCTCAAACAGCACAAAAGGTAACAATCTGGGCCTGCAAAGATAGCCCGTCACCATACAAACAAAAAAAGGTGGTTGGGTGTTAAATACCCAAATGTTTAATAGTTTTAGTGTTGTGTATACCTTTTATTTATATATATATATTTTATGTTTTTTTTTTCTTTTTTTTGGTATCTTTAGATACAGATGTACTTAGTTTGTAAAAACAAAAACAACAAATGTGCTTTATCTTCATTGAAAAATTATGCAGTTAGAACTAATAACCCATTTTACTAGTAGTTAACATATTAGAATGATATGACTTAAGAAAAATACAAAAATAAGATTAATACTGTCAAAACTCTTATACCAGAAAATATTGTGGTTTTTAAACTCTTTCAAAGATGAAATATGAAAATTTAAATAAGCTTTAACTATATAAAGAATCTTCTGTAATCTCAATTAATATACAGTGGGATAGCTATACATATATTTACCATTGTTCTTCAATTTTTAAGCACCAGTCACTCTTCTGGATCCACTTTGGTTGGAAGGTTCTTCATATTTCCACAGGTTCATTTAATGGCACATATCGACCGCAAATAATTATCTTATCCTTTTAAAAAAAATAATGTTCTTAACTAACTGCTACCCCACATTTCGGTTCTAGTATCTTCTGAGCCAGCTCACTTTTTTTTTTTCTTTTTTTTTTTTTCCTTTTTTTTTTTTACATCAACTTTAGCATCTGAAATAAGACTTTAAATATATGCAAGTAGTCTTTTAGGCTATACTTTCACACACTTAAGGAGCACTGTGTGGATAATGCCTTTGGCCAAATGAAGTAGTAACAGATTGTGTATTTGAAAACCAGTGTCATATTATCCACACAGATACGATCTCCTTTAAGCAGCACAGATGACATTTGTGACACAAGTTTGAGCGATCCCAGCTGATCTCTACTGAGAGAAACTGCAACTTTTGTAACGGTTTTCACAACAGTTTCAAAATGAACTCCCTTGTGTGGCACACCAAAAGCTGCTGTCTCAATTCATTTTTCAGAAAAGGTGCCCACAGGCCATTTATCAACAATACCAAGGCCTCACAGCTTCTCTGCTACAAATTTAAACAGTGTTGAGCAAAGTGACCGCTAATATATTTGCTTCAACGTATTAAATGTATTTTAAGAAGATGTTTAACTATAAATCTATTATGAAAAATAGCTATAAAATACAGTGTTTTTCTGTATGGTAGTTCTTCAGCAGTTCTCTTAAAAAAAAAAGTTTCGAAAGTAAAGGCAATATACACATTTTTAAAAGCATTTCTACATCACAGTTTTGGGCTGTTTCATGTACGTCTACCAAACATATTGGCCATATTTGCTCAGCACTGTAGAACTGAATTCAAGGGTTTGTATACATCACCAGTAACTCCTCACCTCCATATTTAATGAGATAAACAGGACAGAGCCAATGCACAATTGCAAAACAAGGGATAGATAGTTTTTGTTTGGCCCGGTGCTGCATTTTCCACCGTGAAAAGCAATTAGTATTGATGCAAGTAAGACGGTCTGCGTTCGTGCTTGACGGGAAAGGATTTAAAGCCCTTATTCATCTGCTTGTGCTGGGAGGCCTGTTGCTGCGGCTGCTGCTGCTGCGCGTAGGCGAAGCCGGAGGCGATGCCCGCTGCTGGAGCACAGTCGTTGGCTGCTGCCCACACCGGGGACTGCAGCATCTGCATCGTGTCGCTCCACTGGCTCATGGGGCTGCTCATCGGGTACAGAGACGCGCTCTGCCCGGGGAGGGTGCTCATGACGGAGGACGCGTGCTGCCAGGGGGCCTTCGGGGGCCAGGTTTTGGTCTTATTATCCTGGGGAGCAGGGAAAAAGGAACAACCAAAATATTTTGTTTTGGGGGGGAATATGTTAAATATTTCTTATCCTTACCCCCACTACAGATTCAGAAGGCTGATTTAACCTATCTTTAAAAGCAGGATTCATGCACACATACAGCACTCTCTATTCTTACAGTGTTTGCCTAATTGAAAAAAATCTTTGCTTGCTTCAGGACATCTGTTTGGCTAGCAGTAGCCATGCTTTAAAAGGAAGATTTCTAGGAAAATAAGTCATCAACCTGGTGATGCTCTAGTTTTCTCTGCACAGATAGTTTAACTGATTGTGTTGCTTATTAGCTTAATTTGAAGTCTTTGTTATTTAAAATTGGTAACTGCTAAAAGCATTTAGGGCTACTTGAGCTTGGGTTTTAATGGCTTGGGTTTTAACTGAGGGAGGTAGCATGGAAATACAATGAGGCTAATTTTACTGGTGAGGGTTTCCTAGTGAAAGTGACCCCAAAGGACATGGGAGAAAAATGAGCGAGAGAAGCCATGTTCAGCTTACCTGATTACGGTCATCTACTGCGGAAAGAAGAGGTGGTGACGGGAGCGTGCTAGGTTCCTGCTCACCGCTGCTGTGTTTCCTGGCAAAACAGAGAGAGGTTTGCCTCAGGAGAGGGAAAGCCTCACACATTTCCAGATATATGGGTTTCAGCTGACAAAGGATATTTGTACAGATGCTAGTTTGTATAAAGGGACAGCTATTAATATAGCACAGCCTGAGACTTCATAGCATTAAGATCAGGTATATTCCGAGCCATACCACCAGGATGATATGCAAACTGGTTGATATGCAAATACTTACAGTTGGTAAGAATCTGCTTTGTTTGGCTATTCAAATCAAATTACACTGAAAAAAGTGTGCTGAAGTGGTAAACATTTATTCTACTCACCTCCTTTGCTTTACAGCAGCAACAAGGTCTGGCCCTGAGAACATGGAGAACAAGCTGTCTCCATTAGCTGAGGAGGTCTCGTCACTTGAGCTGGCAGAGTCTCCTTGAGTACCAGACCAGCTGTTTGTCACATCACTGTAAGACGGGAAGATCATTAGTCCTTGTTTCTGCAGTGCCTGCTCCAGATTAGGTGCCCTAGTTCACTGCACCAAGTCTTGGTGATACCTCAGGGCACAAAATGTATATTACTTTGTAAAATACCAGAGTAACATAAAAACTTCCATTTATTTACTTATCACATCACTCACATGACATAG